TAAATTATATAATGATATATTGTTTCCTCCAAAATCCTCTCTTTTTGGCTATTGGTGGTAGAACTTCTTCAAACATGCCACTTGTTTTGCTCAAAGCAAGAAAGAAGGATTTCTGACGACTTTCACTTCTTCCAAACATAGAAACTTGTTTAAAAGTTGATGAAAGAATGCCATATGATTGAAAGATTGCGCCAATAATACCTTAACTAGGCAATTGTAGTAGAAATTGGGGTGCATTCCTCTATAAAGGTTCATAAATAATTGTTGTAGAAGAACATTAGGGACTTCCCACATCTAGGGCCACAATGAAGTTACTTTGTTAAGCAAAATGAGCAGGAATAAGAAAAGGAGATAATAAGTCCATTGTAGAAGAAAAGGATGATGTAAGGTTAAAGTAATAAAAGGACATAAAACTAAAGAATGTAACAGAAATCTTAAAATACTGCTAACATTAAAATCTAAGAGTACTGGTAAAAATGTAAATAACTAGTTATAGACAAAAACGAAATGAAACTAATATTCTTACTTGAAATTTTAAGAAAAATTACAACTAGAGGTTGAAACATAAATTCGCTAATAAAGCATAAACTAAAGATAAACAACTAGACAAAATTATAAATTATTGACAAAAAAGCATAGTGAGCTAGTAGCAGAGGACCAACTATATTAAATTTAACTGCTAGAGCTAATTTAACCAAAAATAACAAAAACAAAGAACCAATTAAGGGAGTTGAACATCTTCTACACTAAAAAAAAAGTTGTAGAGTCGTTATAGGAGTTATCTATGAACTAAATAAGCGTTAAGTTAAAACATTTTAAAGTATTGATATTGTTGAGAGGGGTAGGCCTTCTAAAAAATATGTTGAAGTGTTGTAGTTTTAGGCCTCCATAACTAAAATTGATTGCTAGAAATCAAATTTGATCCTGATTTTATCCAATTCTCCTATTATCATGCTTGACCAAATTAAAGGAATCTCAACAATTTTGAATCCTTTTTTGTAAAATGGATTTTTGCCACTTGTGATTTAATTGCTAGAAATAGAATTCTAATTGTCAAAAATCTTTAGAATCAAACTTGGTGTAATCATTGCTGATTTTTCTCAACTAAACTAAACAATTCTACACCATATCAATAAACTCTTTGATTTTGTGGCATCTCATCTTCTTCCTTCCGTTTCTACCACGTGGCAAAAATTCATTGCACCAGAATTTCTCTTTATTATGGACTATATTACACCAAATTATGCCTATCAATTATCTTTTAAATTTCTAATTGTATGAAAAAATTGTGGCCATTGGATTTCCATTAGAGACACGTGGTATCATTAAGAAAATTGTTGAATGTGGTATAAACACATATTATGTTATAAATTTATAATACAAGGTGCTATTGTAAATATCTCATTTTTATAAGCTAAACTTGTAAATTCCCTCCCAAAATTGCTGCATTGAAGCAAACTGTCACCTAAAAAATGTTGAATCAATTTGCCATCTAAATTTTTATTTTTAAAAAATTGACCAAAATTTAACTGATATTGTTAAATTTTATTAAATGATTACTCTCAAAATTTAATAAAAAATTAATAGTAACAGTTAAATTTGAGTTAATTTATTAAAAATAAAATTTTAAAATGATAAATTACGTTAATATTTTTTTAGGTGACAATTTACTTCAAATGAGAGAAATTTGCACATTTTACCC